GTGGTAAGAGCACATTAATTGGAATTAACCTCTTAAAATATTACCAGTCTTGCTAGAGGTGTGTCAATTTGTGGAGTCATGAAGTATTTGTCATTCTATGACTGATTTATTCTACTTAATGTCATGTCCTCAAGCCTCATCCATGTTGTCATATATTGCAAAATTTCCTTCTTTTTAAAAAGCTGAATAGTACTTCATTATATGTGTATACCACATTTTCTTTATCTATTAATCTGTTTATGGTCATTTAGTGTGTTTTAACATTTTAGCTGCTATGAACATTGATGCAATGAACAAAGGAGTGCAAATATCTCTTTGACATCCTAATTCCAATCATATGGATAAATCCTCAGATGTGGGATTGCTGGATCATGTGGGAATCCTGGATCATATAGTAGCTTCACCCAGTTAGGAAAGGATAGTCTCTTTCACTAATGGTATTGGAAACTGGATGTTCACATAAGAAAGAATGAAATTGGACCCTTGTTTTACACCAAACACAAAAGTTAACTTACTAATGGATTAAAGACTTAAATGTAAGACCTATAACTGTAAAACTCATAGAAGAACACAGGGAAAAACCTTCATGACATAGGTCTTGGCAATGATTTCATGGCTATGACACCAAAAGCACAGGCAATAGAAACAAAAATAAAGTGGGAGTATATCAAACTAAAAATCTGCTGCACAACAAAGAAAAAAATCAACAAAGGAAAAAGGCAACCTACAGAATGAAAGAATATATTTGTAAACTATATATATTAAATATGTTAAAAAGTTAATCTTTGAATTATATAAGTAACTCTTACAACCCAATAGTAAAAAATCTAAAAAACTAATTAAAAATGGGCTAAGAATTTGAACAGCTATTTCTCCAAATATAATATGCAAATGGTAACAGGTATATAAATAAAATGCTCAATGTCACTAATCATCAGCAAAAGGCAAATTAAAACCACAATGAGATATCACCTCACACCTGTCAGAATGACTATGATACAAAAAGAAAAAAACAGAAAAGACAAGTGTTGGTAAAAATGTGGAGAATTTGAAACCTTTGCACATTGTTGGTGGGAATGAAAAACGGTGCAGCAGCTACAGATTAATTTTTCTCTTGACAAAGAACTTTAAACTTCTTTATGGTAGGCAGAATAAATGGTTCCAAAAGATATCTCTTTACTAATCCTGAGAACTTGCAAATGTGTTAGATTATGTGGCATAGGTGGATTAAGATGGCAGATGGAATTAAAGTTGCTAACTAGCTGATTTTAAAATAGGGAGATTAAATTGGATTACATAGGCAGGCCCAACAAAATCACTGAGTTCCTTAAAAGTAAAAAAGAAAGGCAGAACAGAGTCAGAAAAAGAAATGTGACTACAAAAGAAGGCACAGAGCCTCCCCTGGAGTCTCCAGAAATAAACGCAGCCCTACAGACATCTAAAGCTCAGTGATGCTCATGTCAAACTTCTGATCTACAGAACTATAAGATAATAACGTGTTATTTTAAGCTAGCACGTTCATGGCAATTTGTTATAGTACTAAATAGAAAACTAATGCACTGCTCAAATTGGGAAAATTGCTGCTACAAATGCCACTTACAAATAAGTGGCAAAAGAAAAATAAAAAATATAGGTCTATTCTTTCATTTTTGTTTAGAGTCCAAGGAATGTCCCCCCAAATACCATCTCTATTATCTCTATGAATTTCTTTTGGTTATACTTGATTCTAAGTAAACCTAAGATATTTTATTGTACAGGAATATACTTCAAAGTAATGTAATTAGCTCTCCATTTTAACACTGAAAAGTCTCTAATGGGCATTTGAGGTCAACCTGATCATAGCTTAATCATCACTTGGCCATAAAAAATACAGCACAACAGAGTTTCATATTACACTCTACATGAATTTGTTCTCTTAGTGTTAGGTATATATTTTGAAGTTGCATAAGGTTTAGCCAACAGGAAAAAGAGTTAAAACTTTTTTCTTTTAGGTTGTATACAGACACACATGTACATACACCTATGCAGTATTCATGAAGCTGTTAAAATCACATATATAAACTGTGCTTTTCATGTTAAAGACCGATATTTCTGAAATATGTCTGTATAGAGAGATAATAGTAAAATTTTAAAAATATTATGTATACTTATTTAGAATATGTTATAACTTATAAAAAATATAATGGGAAACTATAAGGCAACAATAACAACACAACCCCTAAAAGATATTGGATCCTATTAGCACATATGTATATGTTATTAAAATTAATGTGTATCCAATATAACATGTTTCTTAATTCTGTATTTCAGTAGAAAAAAATTAAACATATACCAATAGTTAACATATAAACAATATGTCATTATTAAGTACCAAGGAATCTAAAAGTATTTAGAAAAATACTATTGAAACCATTACTAAGCCTTCAACCAAATTAATCATTTTAAGCTTTATTCAGCATCAAGGGCTGCTCCATGTTCTTCAGTTTTTGTATTAGGTTTCAAACTATGAATTATTTTTATAAAAATTATTTTGCTACAGAAAGATATTTTTATATTCACTGACATATACTCTTGAAAAATATTTCCATTATTATTTATGATTATAACTAATAATTAAAATTTATAGAAAAAGTATATATAAAAGATGCTTAAGAATTTGAAAATCTTGATTTCTAGTTATGTATTTTTAATGAAATCTTTTAAATTCTTCAGGACTTGAGCTTTATTCTTAAGCTGCATTGAAATGTATAATGACAGAAACTGCCTCCTCCTCAGAGCTTGAGGGTGATTAGAAGCATAAAATGTTTGAATTTGATTATCTTGCTTTGTATTTCCTTTTTTATATATGATTTAAGCACAAATGTAGAGAGTATGTTGAGTAAAAAATAGGCACTTTAAGTTTTGGTTGTCTCGTAGGGAGTGGAATAACATTAGACTTCATATTTCCTTCTCCCTTATGTAATCTAACTTCCCAAAACTCTGTTCATATCTACATAAAGTTATTAAATTGGCTATACTTCCCATAAAGGACTGATAACTAGAATTTATATAGAACTCAGTAAAATCACCAAGAAAAAATCAAAAAACCCTATCAAAAAGTGGGCAAAGGACATGAACAGAAACTTTTCAAAAGAAGATAGACGAAAGGCTAACAAACATGAAAAAATGCTCAATATCTCTAATCATCTAGGAAATGCAAATCAAAGCCACAAATGAGATATCATTTATCTCCAGTGAGAATGTCCTTTATCACAAAGTTCCAAAACAATAAATGTTGGCATGGATACAGAGAGATAGGAACACTCACACACTGCTGGTGGGACTGCAAACTAGTACAACTTCTGGGGAAAGTAATATAGAGATACCTCACAGAGATACAAGTAGAACTATCATTTGATCCAGCAATCCCATTACTGGGCATCTACCCAAAGGAAAAAAAAAGACATTGTAGAAAAAAGACATCTGCACTAGAATGTTTATAGCAGCACCATTCACAATTGCAAAGATGTGGAATCAACCCAAGTGCCCATCAATTCATGAGTGGATTAATAAAATGTGGTATATGTGTACCATGGAGTTCTACTCAGCCACACACACACACACACACACACAAAATGGTGATCTAGCACCTCTTGTATTATTCTGGATAGAGCTGGAGCCCATTCTACTAAGTGAAGTAGCAAAAGAATGAGAAAACAAGTACCACGTGTACTCATCAACAGATTGGTATTAATTGACTTAACTGACCAACGCTCAAGTGCACATAGTAACACTCATCAGATGTCAGGCAGGTGGGGGGGGAAGGAGGGGTTGGGTATATATACACCTAAAGGGTGCAGTATGCACTGTCTGGGGGATGGACACGCTTGAAGCTCTGACTCAGGTGGGACAAAGGTAATATATGTAACCTAACATTTGTACCCTTGTAATATGCTGAAATAAAAAATTAATTAATTAACTAAACTTTTAGGTGAATATTTCTTTTAAAACTACTCATAAAATTATTGATTTCTTACTTCCTTATGATCTGAGTATATTGTGGAACCCAAGGCATATACTAATTGAATGCTAAAACAACCTTAAAAGGACTTAGTTATTGTAAAAATAAATATCAGCAAACAGCTTCATTTTCAAAGACCTGTTGCACTGGCATTTGCATTTCACCAACACTGAATTTGGTAATTCTGAGCACTTGCCCCAGGGACCAGTTCTGTGGTCAAAAAACCTAGGCTAATCCCCAAAAGCCAACGTGTTTTGTGAAAATGTGTGTGTATATGTGTGTGCGCGTGTGCGTGCATGCATGTATGCCCAGACTCGCATGTGTCTTGTAGTTTCTAAAAGTCAATGCACACTGATTTTATGCTATCCACTGATCCATATTGTTTACATAATTATCTTTTCAATATAGAGACTTAAAGTTTCATAACATTACTTTGATTTTTAAAAATGTGAGTTGGCAGACTTCAGCTCTCAGAAAGACAGGTATTTTCTATCAGTCAAACATAAGGTGAACTTGGAAGGTAAAAAAATGGTAGGGTGGCTAAGGGTATTGTGACAGGATGAATGATCTGGCAGTGAGTTATTTGGCTATTCTTTTTTCATCACATATCCCAGATTGAGTGCTGGAAAAGTCAGAAACCCAGAAAAGCCCAAGTATAGACCAAAAATAAATAAATAATAATAACAATAATAGCCAGTTCTCTCTAAGAACCAGACAAGAAAGGTTCAGCCTACCAAGACAGAAAATGTTTAGACAATAATACCCCTCCAGGAAAAGTCAATGGATGTCCCAGATCTCCACTATCACCAGGTTGTAATAAGCTGTTTCAACCATCAACTCTAGTGTCTGGTGACAAAGAATGATGAGTGGAAAGCCAAATTTTCATCTCTGCCAGGGCATAATGAACTCCTGTACCAGCACCATCATTCCATGCCAACCTCCCCCTCCCCCCCCACAGTGTAAAAGGACATCATATAAGTTGCTGTGGAGACACCTACCACCACCCAGCAACGACAGGCCATTGTTCTCCTCCCTGCTGGATTCTTGTCAGAGGAAGCCTATTGGAGGTAGGACTTTCACCACTGCCCTGAAGTAATGAGGCCACCCTACTCCACATAATCTCAGTAGAGGTCATGGCAGAATACTAATGAGGTATTCCTGATCCTCCCAGCCATGGTGAGGTGATAGTCTTGGAGGCCTACTAAGACCCAGAATTCCCATCCTTTCCAGAAGAAATTGTCCCTCCCACCTCAGGAGTCAATGAAGTTTAGAGGGGACCTGGACTTTCACCACTTTGCCATAAGGAGGCAGCATCATCATACTTCCCCTGACCAAGTAGTTTCAAAGGGTACCTGATAAAATCTAAGTAACACCCAAAATATCCAGGTTTTAATTGGCAGTCACTTGTACTATCAAGAAACAGAAAAATCTCAATGAGAAAAAAATAATCAACAAAGGCCAACGCAATGATGACAAAAGTGTTAGAATTATCTGATAAAGGATTTTAAAGCAGCCATGCTTAAATGAGCATGCTAATGAGCAAATGTAAAGATGCTTGAGGAGATGAAAACAAATAGAAAGTCTAGACAAAAAAAAAAAAAAAAAAAGGAATATATTATGTAAGAAAAAGCCAAAAGGGAATTTTAGAGATGAAAAATACAGCTAAAATAAAAAACTCAGTTGATACATTCAGTAGCAGGAAAAAAAGAACATAGGAAAGAATCAGGACATTAAGAAGAACAATAAAAATTACACACTGCAAACGGCAAAGAGAAAATAGAGTAGAAAAAATAAAGGAATGCAGCCTCAAAAACCTGTGAGACTAAAACAAAAGATAAAACATTCTTGTTATCACAGAGAAAGGAGAGGAGAAAGATCAGGGCTGAAAAAATATTCAAAAAATTATAGCTGAAAATGTACCAAATTGGGCAACATACAGACTCAAAAAGCTGAGTGAATTTCAAAAAAAAAATAAACCCAAAAACAATCATGCTAAGAGACACTTTATAGTCTAACTTCTGAAAACTAAAGACAATGAAAAAAGACCTTGAAAGCAGAAAGAATGTAAAGCATCTTCCCAAGAGGAAAAAAAAAAATCTTTGAATGATAGTGGGCATCTTATCAGGAACCATGAAGGCCATAAAGAAATACCTAACATTTTTTATGTGTGTAAGAGAGAAAAAAAAAAACAAAAACAAAACAATTATGTGAAAATTCTATATAACCAGTACAAACATTCTTCAAGATTATAGGGGAAATCAATATATTTTCAGAGGAAGGAAAACTAACAACATTAATCAAGAATTTAATCAACACTAAAATAAAAGTTCTCTAAACAAAAAATAAATGATGGAAGAAGGAATCTGGGAACACCAAGAAGAAAAACAACAGAAAGAGTAAAATATGGATATTCATTCCTTCTCCTTTCAAGTTTTCTTTATTGATGAGTTTTCTTATCAAAGTTATGTCTCATCTTTGAAATAAAAATGATAATACTTTAAGAGTTGGATCTCAAAATAAAGAATAGAAATATTTAAGATAATTATATTATAAAGAAGGGAGGGTAAATAGATATGAAGGGAGGCAGGATTTCTACAATTCAGTTGAAATGATGACATAGCAGCACCAATACATTGTGATAACTTCTGTATATGTAATGTTGTACCTCTAGGAACTATGGACAAAGCTATACAAAGAGATATGCATTCAAAAACACTATAGATAAGTCAAAATGAATTCTAAAAATATTCAAGTAACTCACAGGAAGGTAGGAAAAAGAAAACAGAGAAAATATAATTAGAAAAAAGAGAGAACTAAGAGAAAATAAAAAATAAGGTGGCGGTCTTAATATAGCAATAATTATGTTAAATAGAAGTGTTCTAAATGCACTAATTATAAAACAGAGACTGGCAGACAGGAAAAATAATGAGTCAATTATATGTTATCGAAAACAAAGATACCACAATTATAACACTGTAAGTAGTTTGAAAGTAAAATGATGCAAAAATGTACACCATGCCAACATTTCCCTGGATAGGTAATAAAATGATATCACTGATTTCAATGTTTTCTCAATCTACAGCAGAGGATATCAATGGAATCAGTCACTATTGATATTTTGGGTTCATTCTTTGTTGTTGGTATCTGTCATGAGTATTGCAAGATATTTAATAATATCCTTAGTCTCTACCATTAGATATCAGTATCAACCCTTTTCCTAAGGCAACAACCAATGATGTGTCTAGACTTTGAAAAAATATTCCCTGTGAGGCAAATTTCCCCTAAGTAGAGAATCACTGGTTTAAGGAATTTACTGGATTTGTCTCAAGGGCTCTGAGGTGAGAAGAATGAAGAATCTCCCAGCTGACTGTTGTCCAACAATAGAAATATTCACACAAACTTCATCACACAAGGGAACCACTGAAACTCTTCCACTTTGAAGAATCAAGGCATTCCCACACTTAGGAATATTCAGTTTCTAACCACATTCTTTTCACCAATTCAGAATCATCTTTCAAATACACAGAGGTGAGCGCATTATTCTAGTATAATAGTGCAAGTATATTATAGATCAACTCATACAGAAAAGAAATATTCAAGACATCACTAACAAATCAATTCAATAATGTATTTAGTACTCTAGGATAAGTAACTTGTTTGTGATCAATATGAAAAAGTTGTTTGCATGTTTATATAGTGATATATTGTTACATATTCTCTAGAAAACATGATATGGTAATATCAGAAACTGGAATTGATTGTGAACCTATTCAACAGCAAAAAAAGAAAAGCAAAAATAACTCTGGTTTTGAAATATCAATCAGTACAATCTCTTAGAGATATGGGAGTCAAATAGCATAACTGATAAGTTTCATTATCAGATATTTCCCTTAGGTTTTTCTAGTTTATATCAGAAATCCCATTTACAGCATAAGGGTGCTGTTTGGTGTTGTTGGTAACAGACACATTACTGAGAACATAGACGGGTCGAAGAATTATTAAAATCAAAAGAAATACAACAAAAGCCCACACATTTCAGCTATTAAAGTCACAGCATCAGGATTACTGGAGAATATCAGCACATAAAACAAGGAAAACAGATTTTTCATCATGACTATCTTGCTTGTCCAATTAAGTTTTGACTTTTGTGTTTTTCAGCACCTGCTTATACAATCAGCATTACACCACATGGTCATGTACAATGAGTACTCCCTAAGTGTCAGGTACTGTAAAAGGAGCTAAACAGATAAAGGCAAGTTAGAAAGTGCTCTGTCCTCATGGCACTTGTGATCCAGTATCTATAAAAATGATTAAAGTATGTAAATGAATTTGGTGCTTAAGTAACTTAATTATCCTAGAAGGCTCAATTATGCCAAGTAGCAACTTCTTGGATGAATCTTGGAAAATGAAATAAACATGATTATTGCAGAAGTATGATTTCACTATATCTATAATCTTTTAGTTAAATCGATTGTAAAAGGAGGCACTGTCTCTTTTGGGAACGAATAAACACATATATCATGTTTTAATTATAATTTATGAAGCTTTTTATGACTATTTATCATAAGATTTTATAAACTCACATGAAAAATTACAATATAATAAAATTTTTCCAAGTTAAAATTAAAATCAGAGAAATATTTGAATACAAATTTAATAATTGTATGGCCCCAAACAAATCCATCAAGCTGGGTAACTTATTGGCAGGAAAAAAGGGGTGGTTAATATTACTGATTCCTAAGTTTTATTTCAAAGTAATTTTATAATAAAATATATATTTATAATGAACAAATAACATTTATGTAGAAACAGATATTGTAAGTATACACTCTATGATCAATTCATAGATCAAAATCCGGTGTAGGACAAAACAATCACAACTTTTCAGGTTTTGCTTTATATCTACTTCAATTAAGGAGATATACCTATGACCAAAGATTCAAATTTAACTTATTTAACTTTCTCAAACCATCAGTGAATGTATTATGTTCTTTCCTTAGAATGACTTTTTTCTTGACGTCTTGTGATTTTCCCTGGTGTTCTAACATGCAATAAGAAAATCCTTAAGAAAATCAGGGTTATAAATAATTTAAGTTGAAAGTGACAATAAGGGGTCAAAAATGTTTTTCTTTATAAAAGTATTTATTTTAGCATTTGGTAAAAATCACATGCTTTCATAGTTTAAATTCCTATTTATTCACAACTAATCGGTAGAGAAGAGGGAAGAAGGGAATGGAAAAATTAAACCTCCTAACAAACAATCTCTGAAGATACACTGCCAAATGAGGATTGTTGAAAATAAAATTTATTACAGAAATGACCATATAAGACAAATGAAAAAATAACTTGATTAATAAAATATTTTTGACTAAACTTCTCAGGTCCAGAGTTATTGGAGTTACTGTATAATATTAGTTGTTCTGTTATTATTTTCTAGAAGTTCACCATTGAATTAATCAACTGTGACAGGGTCAGTTCCTCAGCCATTCCCACAAGACCTCCATCAAACCTTCCCCACTCCAGTTGAGAATGGAAGACATAGACGATTGAAGAAAATTCTTTCCTATAAAGCTGACTTTACAAATTTATATCAATGTGAGCACTGACCTGTGAATATTATAGCAATTAATTATGGTAGTACAGATTCTGAACTTGTCAGTGTCCACTCAATTTGTTAAATTGAATAGATTAATTGAAGATGACAACATACTGATGCATTTTATTATTTTATTCACTGCAGACTCCAAGCAAGCACTTTATACATAAATGAATTTTTAAAAAATTTTTAATTGACTTTGAAAATGTTAAGAGAAGGGATAATCTGAAAAACTTGGGTTCGGTGGTTACTTTATAATTTCACTCTAATACTTCATAACAGGATACCACATTATTATATCAACTTCTACTGCTCCCAGACTGGCAGCATCATCAGTGCCCAGAGGCAGATTTGGGACTAAGACGACTATTAATAAATCACTAGCTCCCAAGCCTTAAAAATACAAATTGAAATTCAATATTTAGCAAAGTTCAGATCTCCTTGGGAAACATGATGGAGTAGTTATGTTCTATCATATTTTTCAGGAATGGAAAGCGTTGTGACTTTTACTTTTCAGAGGAAGAAAATTTAATATTTCACAGACATGAAACATTGTATTTTGTTCTCAATTTTTTTACATGTTAATAGCTACAAATGGTGATCACATACTAACATATTTATACTCATGGACTAATCCATTTATTAAATAGAGATTGGGAAGGAGAACAGAGGAAAGCAGCTAATACTTACTGAATCTTATCATATATTAGATACAACACAATATTTTGCAAATATTCTGTCTTCTAATGAAGGAGATCTTTGCTTAGAATGTATTCATCTTATATCTAGACATATAATAGAGAGAGTTATATCTATTATTTATTAAAATAATCTTATTTTAAAATGTATTTTATGTTGACAAATATTCACATACATATGCAAAAATGTTAAAGGGAAATATAATAAAAAGCTATGTACCTCTTTCCAGAAAATCAATAGTAACATTTTGGCATATTTATTACAGATATCATTTAAGAAATACTGTATTATAGCTTATATTAATATGCTTGGGCTGTCATAACAGAATATCACAAACTGGGTGGATTATACAACAGAAATTTATTTTCTTATAATTCTGGAGGCTGAAAGTCGAAGATGAAAGTGCCATCAGGGTTGGTGCTCCCCTTCATAGTTTATAGATGACCACCTTCTTGCTGTGTCCTTCCATGGCCTTTCTTCTATGTGAAGTGGGGTGATGGAAGGAGAGAGAGAGAGAGAGGGAGAGGAAGAAGGAGAGAGAATGCACGCAAGCACACATACTCTAGTATCTCTTCATCTTATAAGGACATCTTATAGTACATCTTCAATCCTATTGGATTATTTCCTCACCTAAAAAGTACTCTATGTTTACAATATTATACAAGAGAATTTCATTTCTGGATATGAGCAAGTATCTGGACCTGGACTTATCCTCATGACATAAACACGTGGAAAACTGAAAGCATTTATGAAATAATTGTTTTAAACTTGGAAAGCAGTCAGCACAGGACTGTGCTCTGTGAGAAAATATAAACAAACAAAAAAAATAAGCCTTTGATTGCCTTGGCTCTCTGCCTGGAGGAACCTTTAAGAAAGTTATTCAGAAATGTGGTTTTCAAGGAAAATTTAATAGGTATAATGACTTGAATAGACATAGATAATTGTTTAGGGAGCAAGAGGTTGCTGGACTTTGCAGAGAGGAATCAGAAAGTAGAGAACTACCAGGAGAAATCCCCTCCAAGAAGTCTATATAGGGTTCTCTTAGACTTTGTCACTGAATACTAAACTGTATATGTGTAAGATAAAACCCACATACCTGGGCAGAGGGGAGGTATAAACTAAGCAATTTACCACCTTCTCATCTCCCAGAGAGAAGAGGTCTCACTAAACATTTAGTAGAGTCCTTGGACTGTCACCTTAAGTTGAAGAACTCAACTGGCCTCAGGAATAAAGGCTTTTCAGAACTCACACTAACAAAGGTTAAAAAGAAGCCTTGAAAAAAAAAAAAAAAACTCAGGCCAATTCCCAAGTAATTTAACTGCTTGCCTAAACAAAACCCATCCATCATTAAAAAAAAAAAAAAGCACCAAAAACAATGATAAGCTTCAAATAAAAATTAACTGTACATGCCAAGAAGCAGGAAAATGTGAACTCTTAACAAAGAAAAATGTTATTAAGTAGAATCCGAACCAAAAATTACAGAAAAAATCCTAAAAAATAAAATAGTTGTTATAAATTTGTTCAAGTGTTTAAAGAGAAACATGAAATAATTAGGCAATGGGATATATAAAAACATAACCAGATGAAACTTTTACAGATGAAAGTAAAATGTGTGAAATGAATAATTCACTAGATGGAATTGAAAGCAAACAGGATATAACAGAAGAAAAGATTAGTGAATTTGAAGGGATAGCAATAGAAATTATACAAATTGAAGTAAAGAGAGAAAAGACAAAAAAATAAAGTGAACATAGCACAATGTTTTGTGAGATGATATTAAACTTTCTAATACATGTGAAACTATAGTTTTTAAAGGGAAAATGAGGAGCATAAAAATATTTGAAGAATTAATGTCAAAAACTTTCCAAATTTGATGAAAACTAAAAAAACTCATAGATTCAAGAAGTTCAGCGAACTCAAAACAAAGACAAGAATTACTGGAAGCTTTTTTCTAAGAGACAATTTTATTAAGCCAGAATAAAATGGAACTACATTGTCAAACAGAATTCTATATCCAGCAAAAATTTATTCAAAACTTAAGTTTAAAATATATAATTGTTTTTAGTCAAACACTAGGAGAATTCACTGCCAACAAACAAGCACTAAAACAACTATTAAGAGAAGGTTCCTCATGGGGAAGGAAAATGACACCAGATGGAAACTCTAAACTTCACAAAGGAATGAAAAATGAGAAGTATTAAATCTGTAGGTAAATATTAAAGATTTTCTTCTTACTATGTCCTTTAATATACAATTTAATGTTTAAAGCAAACTAGTAGAAATAAATTATAGAATTTATAACTTGTGTAGAAGGAAATTGTATGATGAGAATCCAAAGGGCAAAGGGGAAATGGAAGTATTCAGTTATAAAGTTCTATATAAAGGTAGACTAGGATAAATTAAAACACCTATTTCATCTAACAGCAACCATATTTAAAAATTGAATAGGTAATAAACAAATAGTGAAAATAAAAATGAAAAGGAAAAGAGCAACCAAGAACAGATTAAAAAGTAAAAAGTAGGAGAACTGTAATTTTATGTCTAGCTATATCAATAATTGCATTAAAAACGAATGGTGTCAGAGCTCTTAAAAAAGCAGGAGTTGACAAATTGTATTTTAAAACAAACAAACCATTTTTTGCCTAAAAGATAAAAAATTTAAACATAAAGACAGATAAATCTAATATTAACATTAGTGGCATTAGTGAAACATAGTAACACACTGACCAGAGGAAGCTGGAATGACTCTTCAGACAAATGTATTGCAAGGCACACATTATTACTATTACATAAAGAGAGACTCTTCATAATGATAAAAGGGTGAATTCATAAAAAAAAATCCTAAATGTATATGAACCTAATATCAGAACTTTAAAATGAATAAAACAAAAACTGGTGCAATGAAAAAGGAGATCAAAGCACAACTCGATTTAGTGGTTTCAACCTATATTTCTATTATTATGATTAGTTAAAAGGCAAGTAATGACATGGTACCAAATACACAATGCAGTATCAATGACTATTTCCCTTTAAAATATGTATATTGGCCTGGCTGTTAAGTAGTGTACAAATAAATTTTAATAAAAATCTTATATCTTGATATAGATAGTATACCGTAAAAACTGCTAAGATATTTTTCTCTGGAATGAAATGTACACATATTGCAGACTGGTTTAAAATTGCATACTAGCATCAATACAAATTTACTTCATCATATGAAATGTCAGAAGAAAGTACTTAATAAGACAAATTCAATTATTAATACTTGATTAAGCAATATGATTAAATTCATTTTATTAAAATACAATTCATGACATCCAAACCTATGTATGCTACAATATTACAAAAATTTACTGTGTAATAAAACAAAATTCATTAATAAATGAGTAGATTATGAAGTGTCAACCAACTCCATCATTCTCCAAGTATATAAGCTATGAAACTTGCAAAATTAATCAAGCACTGTATTTCCACTACATCAGTATGCATGTGTGTGTATCTCACTCTGTCCTCATTTTCGTAATCTGAAATAGTGAAGTCTACTAAGAAATGCAGGCATCTTTGATTGTAAGATCTTGGTAGATCAAGGAAGTTCTCTTTGCAAGTAACTTAGAGGAAAAATTGTTTTCCACTACATTTGGTACCAGATCAAGAGTTTACTTGGATATGGATCTGCATTAGGGGAGAAAGCATAGCCTAGCGTAAGACAAAAGTAGTAGTAATGTGCTTTTGTGCTAGACAAATGGAGTTTCAAAACTCTTCAAGCCAAATGGAAATCGATACTTGTTCACTTTTTAAAAACACACACTTTCTTAGCCTTAGAAAGTGCTAATTGCTTATCACGGAGGTACAATTTTTCCAGATAAACCAACTACAGTTTGTTTAGGAAACAATCTCACATTTCACAGAAATAGTTTTAGGAAATAAAGATGGGCAAAATACATCCTTCCACCATTTCTATATATTTATCTGTCATTTATTCACTTAAATTATTTTGATTTTTTTTTTCCAATCTTACTTCTGATAATTGCTTCATACCATGCCATCATTTTGGGTGCAGAAAAGACAGAGAATACCCATTTTATATTGTTTGCACGTTTTTCATAAAAGCCACAGATGTGATAAAAAAAAAATGTTTATCAGACTACTAGTTTCTTTGAAAATATACAATGCGCAGCATTTGAAGGCAATTTTTCCCCCACTAGCTACTAGTAATTAATTTAGTGGCATTTAAACATCTTTCTTTCCTAAGAGTGATATAAACTCAGGAAATATTCCAATATTATTAACCCATTCATTAATTCAACAAATACTAATTGATCACTAATTATAGCCCAGGAACTGTTGTAGGTGCAGTAGATGAAAAGGCAATGTTCCTGCTTTCTTGGAGCTTAAAGTCTAATAAGGAGACATATAGATATATATAATCAAATAAGTTACATATATATGTATATATACATATATTATACATACACAAATAATGTAAATTTGATACATACTACCGATAAAAATAAGGGATAAGAGGAGTATAAGGAACATCAAGAAGAGAAAGGGCAATATTCCTCCTGTGACCTCTGTTTAAGATGACACTGAAAATGTGATACACTGGTGTAAAGACTTGAAGGGGTTGAGGGCACAACCAAAGGAGATCTAGAAGCGAGAAGGTTCTAGACAGAGGGAAGGAGAAATCAAACCAAAGACTCTAGGGTGTGAGAGTGAGTTTTTAGCTTCTAGTCATAACAAATTTAAACATGAATAAAGGGCAAAAGTGCTGTAAAGCTGCCCCTATTTTATGAAGTACAAGAAATTTCTGGGACTTCCTCTTCACTCCTCTTGATGGAAGCATGTAATCTAGAGAATGGAAATCTTAACCCACTGGAGGTTTGTTTTCCCATTTAGAATTTGCAAATCAAAGGGATGTTTGCCATGTGCTAAACTTGGGACTCTATTCTTTCTAATATTACCTTCGTCGTAATCCATGCCTCTGGTTGTACGAATAGAGGCATATATACCTTTGTAAATAAGTACTCACAGGCTTTTAGAAAATAAAGTCAAAACTGCTTGAATAGTAACAAAATCCTGAGAAGTATATGCTCTACAGGAAAAACAGGTTCAGCTAAATTATCGTATCAGTTTGTTGTTTAAAATTCTAGTGATGTTCATGGTATATAATTCATGAAATTCCTAGTGAAGGGGTAGGAGGACCTTTTAATTTTTTAATCCACTCTGGCAGCAGTGAGAGATTATAAGAGGCTTGTTTTTAATCTTCTCCCAGATCAGATTTAGTGATTTTAATTTTCTTTCATTCTGCAGTTGTATTGCCTGAATTCTGAAGCATGACACTTCATCAATATGAATCAAGACTGCTCACAACTTATTGCTTTATTGTTCACAGCAAATGTGAAACAGCAGTTATTTCTTTATTTTTATGCTTGTTTAACAACCAAGAAAAGGAGGGAATTGGATTATTAATAAAAAAGAAACAAAATACAGAATTGATATGTACTCTTACAATCAAGAATTAACTACTTAAACCAAGTGAAACAAAATTTTTCATGTATTCATCTAATGTACAATTCAGACATACTGGATTTGAGATACAGACAACCTAAAATTTGTTAAATGTTATGTTTGGGTCCAAACCGCTGCATATAGAATTTGACTAATTTTTTAATTAAAGAAAACAATACTAACAAAACTCTGGATCAGAATGCAAATTTCTGATATTTTATGGATTGGAGCTAATACTAGGTGTTTATCTACAATATTAGACCAAGTAATTTCCTTCTTCCACTTCTAAATTGTGTTAAACACCTCAGCATTTCCTACTCTTCAATCTCAATGCTCTTAAATGCTTTACTCTTTGCTCCTAAATAACAACATAACAAACATCAGTGGTTGCATGTCTACCCAGGAGGTTCAGCTTCCAAATGGCACTGGTGCTGGTGTAAGAATGAGTTCTAGCTCCTATTAACAAAATAGAGAAAAGGTCTGTTTCTGCTTTTGTAGAAATCAAAAGAACCACCAGCCAGTATAATTATCTCTATTTTGGCCCTTCCTAAAAGTTTTTGGATTCACTTTTATATGTTCCATTTCTATTTTTCTCTTACTTCCCTTAAATAGAACATTGCCTAGATGAATTGGTACTTTCATTATTCTTGCATCCATCTTTATGCATTTATTTAGATGTATTCCTTATGTTTTCTATTCTTTGTAACATGTTACTACGATGAATATTTCCCCTTCCAAAGTATCCAATAAAATGTTGGTGGCATCTGCTTGGTTTATTATCTCACAATATCATCTCTTTCTTTTTGTAGGACATTATAGTTATTGATCCCTGCCCATTTCTGGGAATTTTTGTGTTCTGGTCTGAGTTTTGGTATAAAAGGAAGATAATTTAATTACTTCTGGTGACAAGAGAAAAGATTTCTGTCTCGGAGTCAAGGTTAAAATGGGTTGCGCTGGGTAGAGTCTGAGGTAATGATAGTGTGCTCTTTGTAATACCATTTATCAGACTTCTTGGTCCTTGCTGTTCAAAAGCATTCTTTTTTAACCTATCCTTGCCTGTGTTCTTAGGCATTCTCTATCCATAAGTCCCTCCTAAGTCCCTCAGAACAGCAGAATCGGGGTTGTGGGTTGCTCCAAAGTCTTCAGGAAACATTCATAGAGAGAGAAGGAAAAGAAAAAGAAAACAACAAAAAGATTACCACCTTTCATGTCAGTGCTAGAAATTTTAGGTAGGACAGCAGATGTAGGGGGCACAGAAAGCCTTATTCTTTATTGTTCACAAGTCATTTTGGAATGTTATGCCATGTCTTCTGCTATGCAAAAATGTATGACTTATATTCCAAATAGAACAAAAATATAAAATTGATGCCATTAAAAGCTTCCTGAAAACTAGGAAGGCAAAAATAATTCATATCAGGTTGATTAAATAGTGGAAATGTTATATACTTACATAGTAGACAACAATTGAATATGAGGATGTATATTTTCATTTTTTTCATAATTAGATTATCAGGCAGACTATGAAAATTCAAGATTATCATAATCAAATCTTAATGATGACCAACTCATCTCAGATGCCTTTACTAGAAAAATGTGTCATTAGAATTCAATCCCTAAATAGCCCTATAGATTAATTTTACTTTCAAGTGCTGATTATTGCAATAAGAAAAAAAATGATTGCTTTCAAAGACCATATACCTTCATCAAATTATTTTTATTATGAGCATAAAAATAAAATATAATGAAACCTAAGTTAATTTTTATAGTACCTTTACATTTTCATTTTTCTCAATATCAAGTCTTAAACACTTTTGCTTTCAATTACCACATAGTTATTTTTTTCAAAAATATTTAGTGTAAATTAATCTCTCAGCATTCTATTATTAACATCAACATACTTCTTCCTTTATTCATATTACCTAGTGGATTGTAGTATCTCTGTCTAAAAATAGGCAAAACAAGGATTTGAGAAAAATGTAAGAGTAATAGTATTAAAGACAACTACTTAATTTATAATAGAATTCTGACGTATTAACAGTAGTCTTATGTGGAATTATCAACATTGGTCTTCAAATAAGTCTTGGCACTAGATATTCTTTAAAGCCAAAATGCATAATAAACTTTACAGGATAAACAAAATCTATTCCCCAGTAATAGTATAAATCCTTATACTAATAGCAAAATGCATTTATACTATTACCATATGCTATTAAACCATTCCCAAGATTTATTGCTTTTCCAAGAACTCACTTGTGTGTAATCAAAGAATGCATTTACAGGAGATGAACATAACTCATATAATAGTAGTGACGACTTCACCACCATCAATGTGTTTGCTTAAAATGAACAAACCACATTATGCCCTTAATTCTGGAATTGTAAAGCTGATCACCATCAAATAAAAGTTATATTTTGGATGGACACACTTGAAGCTCTGACTCCGAGGGGGAAGGGGGGAGAAAGGCAATACAGCTAACCTAAACATTTGTACCCCCATAATATGCTGAAAAAAATGTTATACTTTGATATCCAAGGACACCATGTTTACTAAAAGTATTGTATGTGGCAGGTACTTTGCTGGGAATGGTGAAAGCCTATAGGGCTAAGGCAGACACTGCATTTTATTTATTTTCCCTCAACACTGAGTGGCTCTCATCTATCCCTCACACCTAGTTTTTTCAGTGGCCTGAATAAGATATGGATAAACCTGAGATCCTTCAGAAATGACATAATATATAACATGGCCTACCCATAGATACATTTTTTATATGTTCAAGTTCAAAAACTATAAAATTGTGTTTCCTCTAATTATAAGAGGCATGTTAAATACGAGGAGGAAATCCTGCTGTTTAATATGTCTGCTACCTGCCAGTATCTGAGGGTGTGCTAAACATCTCCTCCCTTTGTTTTCAATCAATATGCTTCCCAGAGGATTCTCTGGCCATCCAGCCAGGCACTCAGCACATCTCTGTCTGTGTCTCAAAGAAAATGCATTACAGCACATTCCATTAGGGAAATGATACATATCTAAAGTCATTTAAGGTCTAAGCAAACACAATGCCAATAAAAAATACTGACACTTCCTGCAATCTTCCAGTGGTTGTAATTTTAGGTAAACTAAGTGATAATAGCATAATTGTATTATATGAATAATATAATTAAACAATACAACATACACCAATTTGGACAAAAACTCGAGAAAATGTGTCATACCTAAAGGTTTAAAGAATGAAAAAATACAAAAAAATATATATGTAAGGTTAGTAGCCATATCTTTTAGTTCCTACTTTTCACTACCCAAATAATAGTACTAGTTTTTAAAAACTCACATAAGATTTGTGCTCAATGTCTGTGAAAAACCATACCTTTCATTTAAGCATATGTTGTTGAAAATTTTGTTTGGGGAAAAAAAGAAATGTATATAGCTATAGAGGAGTGGGGTACCTAAGCAAGTACCTACCAGATTGAAACAGATGGTTGTTATTATAGTCTTTAATGTTTTTATTCATGGATTACATTCTTGAAAAATGTTAGGTCTGATTTCATCTTCAAGAATATGAGCTCTTGAGAATTAAGCCTGTTTTATAAAGATCACTGGCCAGATTTCAATTCAGTAAAAATAACACATTTCAATACAGAATTTTTTAGTTTATTATATGTATTCATGGTCCTTATCATTTAATTTTCAGAATAACTCCTTGAATTTTCTTATTTCAAGATACAGAAAGTGGAATTTAGAAAAAAGTTATAATGCTTCCAATTTTGCCACAATAGAATATAGAGCAAGGGTTTCATCTATCTATAGGTTTTGGCACTATGATTGCACAATTTTATTTATACATAAATGTAAAATACAATCAAAATTTTAGAAGTGAGTACTGGCAAGCATGATGAGATTGTTCCTCTAGGGGCGAGTTTCATGGGTAATTTAATAAGGAGGCCAGGAGAGATTTTCATAGCAAGTGAAAAAGAAGACAATGACTATTGATTGATTATATTATCTTAGTATTCATTTTGCTTCTCAGTGAATGTTTGAGTCTATATCTAATCTATTTGAAATGGGAAAACTTCACAGATCCCCAAGTAAATAACATCTTTGAACCCAAAGAGAAAGGGTAAGATGTGAACAAACCAACTAAGGAAAACAAATGAAGTTTAAAGAAAATATGGAATATCTAAACAAAATTATCCCATATCTCTATTTCTCCCTCCTGGAGGGTGGAGTTAATAAGACAATTATGACTTTGTTAAATTAATGTTTTAACAATAATTTTTAGAAAAGATATTTTTACCTTCTCACATTCTGAATTGGAATGTGTTCTGAGGCCATGTGATGTTAGACAGAATGGGATGAAATGATAATTTTCTGCAATAAGCTTGACTGGGGATGTTTCCTAACATTACCAAAAAAAAAAAAAGTTATTTTGATGAACTTGAGGAAGATGGGTTTCTTCATAAAATGTGGTTAAATTTCTCTTTAATCAGGGAAGAAAGCTGATCCCATAGAGGAAACGAAACTACAAACCATAGAAGAGATAGAGACTATAAAGTTTAGGTTACAGAAAAAGAATTTAAACATTGCCAAAATTATAATTTCCAGAGACTACTGAGCTAAAAATATGTATTTTTTACCGAAGTTCTTGGTAGCTTGTAGCTGGAAAAATTTAGGGAAATGATGTTTGTCTATCTTTGAATTATTCACTGCTGTTAGGTCAGTGAGGCACTTTGAATGAACAATTTTGTCATATACTCAGCTCTATGTTGCTTGTATGGATGGTTTTAGTTTTTCTTATAACAGGACTAGGAAAAAAGTAACAAGCTCTCATCACAGCATGTAAGCTCAGTCATTACCGATCTTTTTATGCTTTGAATTAACTCAAATTTTAAATCAAATAAAAAAGTCCCCTTTAGATGTCAATCCATATTAAAAAATTTGCTACTTGACCAAGATGGTAAAAAATAAAACCAAGAGTAAGAAAATTTA